TTGGTATAGATATTGGCTCATCTACTGTGGCAAGAGGTGTTGTCAGCCTTGTTGTTGGTTACCTGAGCAATCTAGTCATTGAGATGGCGTTTCTGGTGCAGGTAATCTTTCCATGTCCTCATTCTCCATCTAAACAGATGGTTTAACTCTCTGAGTATCTTCTAGGGACCATCTGTTTAAAGCACATTAACGATATTTCTCTACAGGCCAACACACCAGAAGAGCTCCCTGAGTATCTTCTAGGGACCTGCCGTCTTAACCATCTGGATGTTACAAAAGCTGTTCAAGTGAAACCATGATCTTATATAATCTCAGTTGATTTCTAATACATTCAGTTTCTAGGTAATTAGTCCAGAAGCTTACAGGAAGCTAGGGTTATTCATTTGCACAGGAAACATGAATGACACCTTATATAAAAATACAGAACTGGTGTAAAGTGACTAGTGAATGTCCAATTCTTTGATTCAATCAAAAGCCACACCAGCAGTGTGCTGCATTAATGTTTGTTGTATAGTCAACAAAATTGTGCTGTTTTCTAGTTTTTGGTAAACCCCATTGTGGGAACATGCTTTTCTTTCTTTTCCATTATTAAATTCAATGCTTTCTCTTAAGAAAAGAACCAAATGGTGGTGTTGGGGAAATGAGATTTATGATGTAATGCATGTGCCTCAAAGGGGAAAGCTTCTAGAGAAGTAACAATGAAAGAAGTAAAGGATGGTTTTGACCCTAGGGAACTCTACATGTGGGGATGTCTGCCCTTTAGTCTTGGTTTTTGAGTTATCGGGCTTAGACTTCTATGCCTCAGTGCCTTTTTCCTGTTTTTCTTTTAATAACTTGAGGTGTTCGGGATGATAAGTATTCTTGCCCTTACCCTTTCGGTCGAGCACAACTTCCCGAAAGCACTCTGTGAGGCAAAAGGGGCAACGGGGATCAACTTCCAGCTCCAGGACAGGAAAGGATGATCCATCTATTTATTTGAGTGACGCTTCATTTAATCTATTGAGTATCTACTATTTTTCACGCCCCCAAGATAACTTTGTCTATTAAGATTAGGTAGATTTATATACTAGGAGTTACTCCTTTCAGTCCATAATAAGTGACCATTTTACCTTTTTATTTTGACCCAAAATAAGTGTCTATTTACACTATCAAGAAGGAGTTAATTTTGTTTTTCCAAAATTTGCCCTTATTTACATATTTCAATGTGTCAAGGTAATAATTAATTAAGGTTAATTTAATAAATATTTTTTTTCTCTAAAAGTTCGTATTTCTTTAATGAGTGTGCCAAATGAGTTTATTATATGATGTTAAAAATCGTTTTCTTGTTAAATGGTTAAAGTGGAAAGATGCAAAACTTAGGGGAAGTAAAACCACAAGGATAAAAGTTAAGTTTGTGTCATCGCTGTTGTAGTTATTCTTGTTTAATAATTTGGTGTTTGAAATACATTGATCCCATTAATCCATATTTGTGTTGTAGAAAGCCCCAAAGAGGACTATATTCGAGAACTTGAATTCGGAAACTCTAATTAATGGCCAAAAAAGTTTTTATTATTCCGCCATATTTCTTTATATCAGTTTGTGGAACAAATAGAATGTGAGAGGCATATATGAACATAATGAAACGTGTTGAGACTTGAGATGAAGGATAAATACCTCCTATATTAAAAGTGAATCAGTAAGTTCAATCGCCGTAACTAATAAAGTTGTTGTCGTGTGATCAGCAGTGGCGGACGCACGTGGTGGCAAGCGGGTTTAATTGAATCCGCTTCATCAAAAAGTAATATTATGTATTTGTATAAATTACGATTAAAGTTGCGTAAATTTTGTATAAATATTTTATTTGAACCCACTTGACAACTACTATTTTACGACTAAAGTTAAGTACTTCTAAGATTGAAATCGCTTGCACAAAATTCTGGGTCCGCCACAGGTGACCAGGAGGTCACGGGTTCAAACCGTGGAAACAGCCTCTTGCAGAATGCAGGGTAAAACTGTGTACAATAGATCCTTATGGTCCGACCCTTCCCCGGACCCCACACATAACGGGAGCTTAGTGCACCGGCTGCGAATAAGTTCTCTCATTATAATCACTTCTGCTTTCTTTATTGAATCAAACGTGTTAAGAGTTGCACAAACTATCACAAAATGGAGATCAAAATAAAAAGATCAGATAGTTTAAAGAGATACTCCCTCCGGTTCACAATAAGTGACCAATTTGTTTTTTCATTTTGATTTAAAATAAGTGTCCAGTTATGTAATCAAGAAAGAATTCAATTTATTTTTAAAAAATAACTGTTATGTACATATCCCTAAAAAGTTTTCTTACTCCTCAAATTAAATGTTTAATTAGGGGTAGTTTAGTCATAGTAGGCATTTTTATATAGAATTTAGTATTTTCTTAATAGGCGTGCTAAAAACAAATTGGTCACTTATTGTGAACCGGAGGAAGTAATAACTTTAGTAGTAAAAAGTGAACGAGGACTTCCATTTTCAATCCTAAAATGCTACAAATACAATATTCTTTAACGCGTTGCTAAATTATGAAATTTCTATAGAGCTAATCAATACTGCAACCCAAAAAAGGAAAAACTACGGTATAGACGTTCTCAAAAAATAATAACCCACAATTATATACCTTTCGTATAGTAATGCATAATATACATATTTTGATATATAATTATTTTTAAACGATTGACCAAATGTGTAGGTTGTCCAAAAAAGGGATACATAATGCTGTAATAAATACCACATGTTAAATTACAAAAAAAATATGTATGCATAAAAGTTTTACAAGTCAGAGAAGAAAAGAAAAGAAGGGAAAGAGTATTAAGGACAAAATTAAAGTTGTACACATCCAACTCTTGAATAATCCGAGTCAAGGATTACTTTTCCAATTTATTAATGGTAAACTTTATTTATTGAAAAATAAATTTTAAAAAGCAAACACTAAAAAGATGCCTTAAAAAAAGAAGAATACTCCACCAAGTGCAAGTGCAAAAGTGGTGGTGGATTCCACTACTGCTAGTCTAAAACGAACAGTTAAGACTTAAAAGTAAAAGTCCACTGCTAGTTCGAATTTCTTTTTTAGGATTTTACCATTTTATGGCTAAGGGTCTGTATTTCCAAAATTGTTTGAAACGTAAAAAATATTACCATAAATATTTAAAACGTAAACATTTTTGTACTAAATCGTAGATTGAACGTAACATCAGAAATATTTTTCACGAGGCACTCATTATCTAATATTTTAAATAACACTTTCTTCATCAAAAGTGAAAAAGTTAATTTTCAAATAATTCATTTCCTTCTAATTATCTAAAATTATAACTTCACTAGTTAACTGATCGCGCTTCGCGCGATTGTAAAAAATATCTGAGAAGTGAAAACTTTAGCTGAATTATCAAATTAAAATTGAAATTTCCTACACATTCATAATATCAAAAATGTATGTGGTTAAGCAAATTGTAAAAAATATTTTATCATCACATAGTCACGTATGAGTCACTTGATTAAAATATGAAACAATCATCTTTTCCTATCTCTTAAGTATATAAATAAAAAAAATTGAGCCCTTTAGTTGCAAATATACGTTCAACACTTTATTTTATTTTGAGAAAAAATTACTAAAATATTATTTCCTTTGATTTAACAATTTTACATAGTTTTCTATTTGAAAAATTGTCTATGTTTCATAAAAATATTGTATTTTTATTTCTCATATAATTAATTCTTTGCATTATTTCTGTGTATAGTGTAAGTGTGAAAACTTATTTATATACATAATATTCTTTAATTTAAGTAGGTACATATTTTTAACTTACAAAATTAATACTAATGGTACTAATGCAATTCTCAAGATTTGAAACATCATGAAACCAAAGAAATACAAATAACCCAAAAAAAAAAAACCTGTTTTCTTCCATAAAGATTGGTAAACATTATGTACAATGTAACTACACGTCAGTCTAACAGAAGTAAAGGTTTTTGCATCATGTTCAATTGTTTAGATTATCAAGAAAAAAAGTTAATTATATCTAATATATTTTTGAACCATTACTAAATGAGGCTTTAAATTATAGACAGTGGAATGACTCACTTACAAAGTCGACACTAATGATACTAACGTAACTCTCAAAATTTGAAATCATCCTGAAATCAGAGAAACACAAATAATAACATACATATTTTCTTTCATAAAGATTGTTAGAGATTACAATATAACAACAGACCAATTTTAAAGCAAATGAAATATATAAACGAAAAAAGTACTACGTTGAACAACCAACACCCATTAAAATAGTTACAAGAAAATAGAAGCTTAATTAAACAGAAGCATTACTCCACCTTGTCATAGTTGAACTTCACCTACGAACAAAAATAGTTAGAAAGAAAGTTGAATTTATAGGATTGGAATAAGAGCAATTATAAGTGAAAATGTTTGTAACTGAAATGGAATTATGATGTTTAATTAAGATCATGTCTTTTCAGTTTTTTAATTTTTTAATATACCACATAAAGGTTTGTAACTGATGTGAAATGATAAGTTTGTAATTGATACGAAAGGATAATGTTTAATGAGGAGTCATGTCTTTTGGGTTTTTTAATATAACACATAAATAGAAGAAAAACCCAAAAAATTAAGAAATTAAATAAATACCTTTCCTAGTCTATAAGAGGTGCCAAGTCAGCATTCTTTGTCCCTCTTATATATATATTACTATAATTGTTAATGAACTTTACAAATTTATCCTATATTTGTATTCCAGAAAAATAATAAATACCCGAAAAAATAATCTAAAGTTTGTCACTACCGTGGTTCGAGAGAGTATTTTTACTATTACAACTATTATTATTATTATTATTATTAATAACTCTAACATAGTAATTTCTTTTCAAAAAATATTTTCACTCAATAATTAAATATCAGTAAAATATTTTTCATATAAATGTCTTTTTGACTTTGACCTTCTTCATTTTCTGTATTACTATTAATTAAGAAAAACACAAAAATCACATCACACTGATCAGCGAAACAGTGTTTCGAATTTTCCAGGGAAAAGCTCGGTGGTTAGATTCCGGATACTTCTCCGATCGGAGAGGTTACCGGCGGCGAAGTGGACCCCAGCACCCCTCAATTCCTGATTGTGGAGGAGTTTTGTCTGGTTTTGTGCATATTTATGAGCACGAGATCTCGAAATTCCATAAACAGGCTAGCCCCATTTTTTTTCTCAATTCTCTTTCTTTCATGCATTCCCCTTATATATATATATGTGTGTTTTTTTGTGTTGTCTGTGTGTGTGAGAGAGTGGATTTCAGCTCGTTGGATTTTAAAAGGTAATTAACCCCCACCCCCCTCACACACCTACACAGGGAAACAAGGAGAAAAAAAGATTTTTACGTTGTGATTGGTGTTTTGATAGATGGGTGGGCGTTTATTTTGGATAAGCGTTCATTTTCCACTGTTAAAGGTTGATTTTACTGGGATTCTTAAATAGTATTGAGTATTTGCCCTGTGAATTCAGCTAGTTGTATGTTAAAGGTCCTCCCCCC